CATATATAAGCTTGGAAAATGGCCTAACTGGACAGCTGGTGTAAATTTTTCACACTGGGAAAAAAGAATTGTCCTGTGGAAACAACATTTCTGCCAAAAATGCACTTAAAGACCAGAAATCCTTGAGATGGCATTAAGAGTTGGGAAGCGTAAAACCCCAGTCACCACCAGGAGCTAATTAATCAAATAAATAAGGGAGGCAAACAGTTTAAAATTATTTCTGCTCCTTCCTAAGCATGTGCCTGTAACTCACCCAGTCAGGGACAGGACTGAGCTAAAGGATTTTTAAAGACAGTGAATGATAATGCTGAAACACAGAAATACACAGTTTTGAGGGGCTGTTCCTCTGAGATGTAAAGGATCTCTGATACCTTGGTGTGAATCTGGACATGTGACAATGACAGTTTAATTGCTGCTCTAACCTGCTCAGCCCATTCCTGCTGGCAATTGTGAGTTAAACTCTTTATTCTGATGCCTCTTCTGCACGAACCAAGAGTGAGTTGAGTTCTGGGCCTGAAGAAAGAAACCATAGTGGAGGAGTAATTTTTGGTAGTTTCTATGATTTCTAGGAAAACATGGAAGAAGAAACAAACCCACTGGCTTTCCTGTAAGCCAATAAATTAAATTTTTAGAACACAAAGAAAAAATTCCTACTTGTCACTAGTTGTAGAAGAACTAAAAAAATGTTCTCTATAATGAAAAAAAAAAAAAATCAGTCTTATCTCCCTTCATAACAGCAGCAAAACAGAAGCTATGTTGTAAAGAAAATTTGCTGGATGTCTAAGGGTGACCAAAGGGATGTAGAGCATCTCTGCAGAGCCCACTCTGAAAGCCTCTGAAGGACTTTCCTTGTCATCTTTCAATATTCCTGCTCTTTTCCCACTCTTGAGCTCTGGCTGACAATTCATTGTCATTGACCTTAACTAACACCTTGAGCCTCTTCCCCAAGCTGCATCCTCCAGAATGAGCTGTAGAAGTGCAGGGTGATGTACTTTGTGAAAGGAAATGGATGGCTTCAGGTCTGACATGCTAATTTTGAGTCTGGCATTCTGACCCTCAATAAATCTAAGGATTTGGGTATCCCTTATTTGTGGATCATGGGAATTGCATGTTCAGTGGACACAATCTCTGTTCTGTTATGAGTATACATTTGCATCATTGTGTGTTGCTCCTGCTTAACATTTTAATAACATAATTATTGCGTAAACATCTATATTTATATAGAGAGATATAAAACCTTCCTGTGTAAATAAGACTGTATGATTAACAGATGAAAATTATCTAGGTCTAGCCAAGATACAGTGCCTGTCCTACATATTTTAGCTCTGATAATAATCAATTTGTTAGCAATCAACATTTTGATCAGCAATCAACATTTTTGCTGAAACATAACCTGTACATTCTCCTAGAAATTAATAGAAACCACTTATATTTCTTAACAAATGGCAAGAGAGAAAAACTAATTTTTTTTGCAAAATATTCATCATTCACATTCTGGCAGTACTCTCTGACAAAGTTAACAGCAAATGGGACTGATTCCACAGGAGCTGAGGAATCCCATTCACTCCACACTACACACACTGGATTTTCTTCATCATAAACTTACTCTTGTATTTTGCAAATATGCAAAATCTTTGTTAAAAAATAGAAAAATAGGAGTCAATAATATCTCTCTATAGATTAACTTTGTTCTGAACAGCATGTTAGAAATTTTGCTGGAGCATTAATTATTTTTGCTTGTTTTTATAATTAACCAGATAATTTAGTATTTCAAGGAAACACAGTCTATGGATGACAAGACTGTGGTGATTCCTTAACTGTAAATCTAGTTGGTTAGTAATAAATCTTTAATTTCTTGCATGTTTATTTAATGTGGATTAATGTCTTGTGTCTCATTGAGCTTCACATTCTTAATTGAAATAAATTCAACGGTAGAAAAGTAAGAAATATACACATTAAACTGGTATATAATTTAGAGTAATAGACTCAGGAGTGTGTATGGGATAAGAGAAATAAGTCAATGTGTTTTAAAATAGATTATTATGTATCAAGATACTGCAGAGCCCACTGAGACAGAAGAGCGCATATAGAATAGAGTATAATGTCTGCTGTGTTTATGTGGTCTGGTTAGCATTTTACAATTCAGGGAGTCTATATGTTGAGCTGAAAATACCAATCTGCACGACGGGATAAAACATTCTTCTGAGATTCAGTTTTGCAGTGCAAAGGGACACCCATAAATTAATATTTTAAATGATCACAGGAATTGGTTTAGCAGAATTGCAACACCAAGGCAGAGTGCACATGGATGCTTTCAACCACACAGTCTTGCTTAAAGGGTTAATTAATAATGTTTGGTACTATTATGCTTCCTTTAAGCACCGACTAATGCTCCCAGATGTGTTTTTATACAATCTGGGTCACTAGTGAAGGCAGGGACCTATTGACAAGGGACAACGCCCTCACTCCAGGAGCAGCCTCTTGAGAGATGCTTCAATATGGAGTGAAGCATGGTGTTTTCCTTGGAGAATAATTTTCAACCAGACCAGCAATCTACCAACAAAACCTCTGATTTCACAGCTGGTGGGGCTAACTTTGACTCTATTACAAATCAGAACAACAGAAAAAGGAGAGTTTAGAGCCCAGATTTGAGATTTTCACCCAGCCACTCTGCAGAGGGCCTGTGGATTCAAAGGACTTCAGCACAGGCTTTGCAGAATCACTGCCAAAAACACCTTCTTGGGAGTTTTTGCTTGTGCAAATTTAGGATTTGCAGCCCTTTCCCTTTAAGGGCTTAGAATTTCTCACTTTCAGAGATGCAGATTACATCTGCATGCACTTACACACAGATGGGTCTCCACATATTCTTGGTGAAATCTTGTAGGTGCCATGGTTCTCCCAACTGTACTGACAGCAGATTTTAAGACTGAAATGCAATACCAGCTAATACTGCAAGACCTGCTCAGGAAAACCCCAGTTTCTCTGAGGTGATCTCAGGGAAAAACAAATATTGACTTCTTTTACAGTGGATTGCAATACACAGGCTTTAATAGTCATTTAATTATCCACGTTCTCATGTTGGGGATAATGTGCAATGAGCTGAATCACTGTTACTAAATAACATGTTCCATTTCCAAGGCAATGTTGGAGCATTCCCTCTTTAAGAAGCAATATATCTTGTGCTTCTGCAATGCAAAGTTGAAGGTCAGTCAGTTTATTAACTCCAAATGGCTTTATAACCTATTAAACATAAATAATATCTGAATTATTAATTAATATTGCTGTATTATAGTGTGCTCTGTACTTTTATATCTTTCCAGCCATTTGTCATTCCTCCTCCTCCCAAACCCACTGGGGCTCTTTGTGGCAGTTCACAAACCTTTATCCCAATGAATAATTAATGCTCCTCTATTAAATCAATTTGATTTGTTTTTAAAGAGTTAACATTTGTGGGAACACAACTGGTTGGGATGAGCAGTGGTTTAGCCTAAGTGGCATATACAGGAGGCATCAGCCTGAGACCATGGGAAGTGGGATGCTGAAAGAGAGATACATGGTCAGGTCATGGCAAGAAGTGTGGTCATGGGAGTTGGTATGTTAATGGTATGTATGTAAATGAAATTAATTCTGTAATAGGTCAGGTTTCTGGTTCTTGTTCTCAGTTGTTTTGGGACCTTTCACATATATGGTCATGTTCCAAATTTTCCTTTGTGATTGAACCCCTGCCCTCAGAATGCCCCTATATATTGTTACATTTGCCACGCCCCTTGTCTTTGCATCTTGCCCCTCAGATTCTGTGGTTTCTGTGTTTGTTCTTTCCTATTAAAGTTCTTAATTTTTCGGGCAATTCTATTGTTCTCATCTCTCTATTTTTGCCACACTCCCTCCGGCTGGACCAGAATCGGGGTTGCAGAGAGCCAGATTTTGACAGAAATTGGAAATGAATCTGTTGCAAATGGAATTTCTTCCTTTCTTCCTGACTCTGGAATAGGCTGGGTGATTGGTAGCTGTCATTCATCACCTGCACAGTGCAGTTGGTACCAGCCCAGTTTCACAGAGTTTTTTCAATGGCCAATTAATTATAATCTTCTGATTGCAAGCTGCTCTATTATCAGTCCCTGGGTAAATGCTTCACCTGCTGAGTAATTTATCTGACATTCTCAGTTGTAAGTAACAGTGGCATTAAAATATTATATGCAAGAATTATAGTATTTTATCAATTGTTGCTGAAGCTGTGCATAAATTCTTATGCAGACCAAATTTGCAGGCATATCAGTCACTGATCCCGTAGAACTGGAATGTGTACAAGTGCCAGAGGATACCTGAGAAGAAATGAATCACTAAAAAGTACAACTAAAAAAATTGTAGTGTGCAACATTTTAGAGTATTTAAGGTATGGAAAGTGTTCAGGGCACCTGTGGTGAATGGAGAATTAATTTAAATATGGGGCTTTTTGTTGTTTTTTGCTTGTTTGTTTTCTTGCTTGCCTCTTTGCTTTGTTTTGTTTTCTTTGGTTGTTTTGGAGGTTTTCTTTTTTTTTTTTTTTTTTTTTTTGGGGGGTGGTTTGTCTTGGGTTTTTCTACTATATGTAGTTTAAACATTCCTAATTTTACCTGTTCCTCAAACACTCCACTCATAGCAAGTCCATTTTCTGTAGCTCTGACCTGATGAGATACTGTGATAATGAAGTCCAGTGTAGCAGCATTTGGCAGCAGTGTTGATCGTGTCCAGAGAAGCCACAACCAACGGCATGGAAAACAAACAAGTCTCTTTGTTGTTTAGCACAAGAGTCCATTTTTTTCCCCCCCACTCCACCCTGTGCGGGGGGAGTAGGGGGCAAGAGGCCCAGGAGCCTGAGCAAGGCCCAGGGAGCTCAAGAGCAGAGAGAAAGCAGACCCAGGGCTGTGGGATTTTTTCAGGTGTCCCATGGGAGGAGTCTTAATATCAGATTACAGCCTCCTCAGAACGGGAAGGCTCCACAATTTCTCCGTTTATAAATTGGTTAAAACAAGAGGATTCTCGGGAATATGATTTAATGGTTTACAAAAACAGAATGAACATTATTAAGCTGAATTAACAGTAACAGAAAAGCATTTGAGACTTAATTACAGGGGATAAAATAACAGAAATGATGATACTGAATTAAATGAATACATTTTTGCTAAGGGGGTTAATAGTTCATTCTCCTTTGGCTTTTGATCTTCTCACCAAAAGGGGTGCTGTTCTTGGTCTCCTCTTTCATGAGGGGCACAGTCCTTAGTGCTTGATCTCGGCTTTTGTACTGGTGTTGTCGGTGTTTCTCTGTTGGATTCTGATGATGATGACTGTGAAGCAAGAGAGGGAGAAAGAAACAGTGTGACAGCTTGCAGCACATGACAGGGCTCTGCCCTTTTCGAGGCTGCCCTGCATCTCCTGCAGGCACAGCGGGGCTGGCCCTCTCAGGGCTCACCAGCCCCACCTCGCCTCACACAGCCTGGCGGGCCGGGGCGGAGCCAGCTGCAGCCGTGCGGCAGGAAGGGGGAAGGTAGGTGGGGGGGATGGCAGGCATGGGACCGAGAAAGAAGGATTCAGTGAGAAAGAGGGGATCTCAAAACCGCATGGCCGCACCATTTTGAGACAGAGTGCCTGGGATGGCATGGCCAGTGCCTTCCCTGGCAGGGAACGGGAGATATGGAAAGAGGTGGGGGTGAAAGAGGACACAGGGCAGCGAGAGGACAGTAGCACTCCCGTACCAGCTCTGGGCAGTTTCTGACCTTGTCTTCCTTCAGGGAAAGGAGGGATGGGGTGGCAGAGGGGCAGAAAGTGACGGAGAAGATGGTAGCAACTCCGAGGCATCCTGGCAGTTTTCATACTTGCTGCGCTCTTAGGAACGAAGGGTAAGGAAAGGTACAGGCAGCTTCACAGAAACTGAAAAACATGGGGTTCACAGGAGGGCAAACCACAGATGTAGGGCATAAACATGCTGCGTGCAATTGTCCATAACCATCTTGAAGTACTGTCCAGGGCTTTACCATCTATAAGCTGCAGCAGACATGTCAGGAAAGTTGGCAAGAGTCCATGGAACGGTCTTTTTTGCAGGTAAAAACTCCCTCCAATGAAAAAGTCGTTCATAAATGTGTCGCTTACTGATGGTGAAATGAACAAAATTCCCAGTGCCCCCGAAGTCACTGGGCAGACGGGGCCTTCCTGGTTCCCATGGCAACACTGGAACAGTTGCTAGTTCTATTAAGTACCGATATTGAAATGCTAAGAAGCTAATTGCTCTGTTTGCTTTTCTCTAAACCACCTGGAGATCACCTACCCCCCCACCCACGCTGCCATTCTAGGAATAAGATGCAAATAGGGAAACTCATGGAACCATGGGAGCATGTTTTGGGGGATAAAGACACCCCTAAATGGAGTACTAAACACAGGAGAGGGGGCTGGACAGGTACGGTATGCTGGCTGAGGAAGAGGAAAACACGTCCTCCGATCGACGTTTGACTTGTCACCATAACCTATGGAACACTAGACTGGAGTGGGCTGTGGAAAGCAGGAACAAAGAGGCAAATCTTCCTGGTGTTACCGCGAGGGAAGGAGAGGAGATAGCTGCTGCTCAGGATTTCAGCACCACATTGTGCATGCGTCCTCACCCTTCGGCCACCTGGAAAAGTTACAACAGTGGGGGCGAGCTCTTTGTCGGGCCCCCTGCCCAGCTGACCTTTTAATAAAGAGCTGAACATTAATAAAGGCATAAGCTCTGTTCGTTTCAATGGTAGAAATAAATGGGCAAGGAGACCAGCTCCTTTTGGATGCCTTTATTAAAGTGATCAGCTCTGGGTGGGGCCCTGAGGGGTCACGCACACCGCCACTTTGGTGACGCAGAGGAGGAAGAATCGTGTTGGTAGAGTGGAGGGACTTCCCGACAGTAGGTCTAGTTGCTTAGTTCTTCATTTTAGGTTGTCTCGTTGTTTCTAGGGTCTTTTGTTGGATTTTCCTGAGGTTTTCCTAATTTGGATATTTCTCGGGAATGTATCCCATCACCATTTTGGGGAGCAGTGGAGTCAATGCCCAATGGATGCAACAAAGTTACAGGTAAGGTGAAGGGTACAACCAAGGTGTATTTAAGGGAATTAACAGTGGGAGTACAACAAGGGTTTAACAATTATTTAATTAACATAATTAACTTGTTACAACTTTTAATGCATTAACAGCTCTAACCGTATTAACCTATGAACTCGTTCATAACAGTAGATGTTAGTTTCATCTCTCGGTCCCAGTAAGCTGGTACCCTGTGAAAAATGCCAATCACTTGGTTTTTAAAATTTTAAAAGTTTAATAATAATAAAATTGTTATAAAAATAGTAATATGATTAGAGTAATAAAAATTTAGAGTTAGGACAATTACAAGACAATAAAAAGCAAAGAATTACAGACACTAAGTCACGAAAAGCATGTTTTGTGAACAAAGGAATAACCCTTAAAAACTGTTGCATATTCATGCATATTTCATGTTTATGCATACATTCTATTTAAAATAAGACACTCTCTGGAGTATGTCAACTCCTTCTTTTAATCCCCATGGTGTCTTCGAGTCTGAGCAAGGCCTAAGAAAATTAGCTTCTTCTGATAAGAGAACCATAAATTTCTCTTCTCTGGAAGATTTAGGTGTTCTGGGACTGTTATCTCGAAGTGAGTATCTCATTCCTTTAAAAAAAACCCCACATACATAGTCTATTTTAACATTATGTTATAACCTAATACTATATTTAACACACACTACTTAAGAGAATTAATACAGCACAACTTTCTAACATTACACATATAATACTCATTTTAATATTTGTGAAAAGCCAGTCATAAAATATGCATTTTTTCACATGCCCTTACTGGGAATTCTCATCCCCATAAGGATTTTACCTCCATGGAAGATGGGGGTCCCGCAGGTTGTATCAATCTGCAGGGGTGCCAGTTGGCCTGACTTGGCTGGTTGCCCGCATTCTCCACCATTTGTAGCAGTGTGCGGCAGCAGTGTCAATCATGTCCAGGAAAGCCACAGCCGACGTCAGGGAAAACATACAAGATAAGTCTCTTTTTTGTTTAGCACAAGAGTACATTTTATTCCACCCCCCCTCCACCCTGTGCCAGGGGGAACAGGAGGCAGGAGGCCTGGGAGCCCGAGCAAAGCCCAGAGAGCTCAAGAGCAGAGAGAAAGCAGACCTAGGGCCATTGGGTTTTATCAGGTGTCCCATGTCCAGTAAGAAGTTACTTAGTCTTGGTACATGTTGCTTATTATTCTGTAGATTACTGCTGCTATTAATTGCTGAGGAAAGTGGTTGATCATTCCACAGCATTTCATGCTAAGAAATTTACATCCCTAAAATATTCCTTTTATGTTTGAGACATTTGATGGTGAGGTCTTCACCAAACAGAGCTCTGATAGCATTTGCTGCTTTACTTCTGTTCTTTGAAATGAACTTGCCAAGAGCCCAGTACTTAAAATTGGTCTTCTTTGGTGTTGTTAGATTAGCTTAAAGTACCTTGGGAAATCCTGGGTAAAAGAGAACTAAAAGATTAAAAAATAAATTGCCACCTTGTCCAAAGGATCCTGGCATTTCTTCCAGTCCTGCTGAGCAGCCTGGCAGCTTGGGCTGGGAGCAGGGCTTGCTGAATTATGCAAACTCCAAATGGTTTTCTTGGTGTCTTGAGGTTCCTTGAGATTCCCAAACTCATCACCCTCCTTTTGAAGATACATTCCCATCCCTCAGGACAGAGGCATAGCCTTTCTCTTTGCTTTACACTCCACTTTATTTTCCTCAATGATCTCTTTGAAGTTAAGAAATAAAATGAAAGCAATATTTGTATTTTAGAATAGCTCTTTAGATGCACATGTGGAGTCATCATAAATCTCTTTTCATGTCTGGATTTGCAGAGGAAGCATTTCCAGGTTACTGAAGGAAGAGTATGGCATTTGACTTTGGAGTCCTTCACTCTGATACAGTGCTTTTTCTAAAATCTGTGTTCATGTTTTTACTCAGGATTTGGTTGTTCTCTGGGTTTATTGTCTTCTGCCAGAAATTATCCAATTATTGTTTATATTAAAAACGATGGGTTTTATATTTTTAAAATGTACTTGCTTTCATTTCTTGTTTTTGCCTTTACTTTGTTGAAATTGTGGCCAAAGTTACTTTTTAAGAGAAGCATTATTTTTGGCATCCAAATACCCAAATTCCCAATCATTAATAACCTTTTTTCTGTTTACATTTCTTCTGTGGTCAGTTTTCCTGTAATTTTCCTTGGCTTTCTGTCAGAAGATGATTCTGCCATGCATTCATACTTAGATTACCTGAAATTTCTTTTGATTACTCCTCATCTCTTATTATATGAGATATCCAGTTTGGAATACTTGGGCTCCCTGAAGATGTATGTTCAATCCTGACACATCCATAGCAGACATTTTTCCTTCTAAGATTCATAAATTCCATTCTATAGAGTTTACAGAGTCTGTTCAAGAGAGGGTTTAGCTGCAACTTCCAAGAGTCAAATCCTCTCTGTTCTATTTAATTACTGGAAGTAACCTAATCTTTCTGCAGGATATGAGATTTATTCCTGTGTCTTGATTCTTTTCTTTTCAGCGCTCTGGAATTTACTATCCAATTAGTCACTGCCTCCCATTTCCAATAATGACCACCTTTCAGCAGTGTTGTTTGGGAGAGAGCAGCTTGTTTTGGGCAGTTTGTAGTTAAAGTGTGAGATTGTGTGAGTAGCTACCAAAATAGCTTTCTGCTGTGATGTCATTTATTATGGAATCACGGAATCACAGAATGGCCGGGCTTTGAAAGTAACCTTAAAGCTCATTTTTCTCCATTCCCTCCTGTGAACAGGGGCACCTTCCACTATCCCAGGCTACTCCAAGCCCCACTGTCCAACCTGGAGTTGGACACTGCCAGGGATCCAGGAGCAGCCGCAGCTTCTCTGGGCACCTTGTGCCAGGGCCACTCTACCCTCCCACGGAACAATTCCTTCCCAATATACCATCTAACACTACTCTCTGTCAGTGTAAACCAATTCCCCTGTGTCCTGTAATGACCATTTTTAATAATCAATGCTTATTTGCAGTATTATTTGCTTTTAACTTATACTAGAGCTAGCAAATTAGAAGTAATTTTATATCAGCTACTACAAATAAATTCCTGTGCTTATCATATTTGCCGAGGGTATCTGAAGGTGGAAGGGTTTTGTGACAGCAGGAAATGTTTATATGGCCCAGCTGAGGTCAGTAATTAACCCTACTTTCCTCTCTGTCACTACTGCAGTGACATTTAAGCTGTGCTACCACAAAGTCTCAATAAAGGCAGTCCAGAAACATTGCATGGCAGTTCAGTTGTTTTAATGACACCCACTAAAGCAATGCCACTGATTAGATACTTTGCTAATTATCTTCTGCTACTTCTGTTGGCTATATTTCAACAAAATGAACAGACTTATTTACCAGTAGCATTACTTTTTAAGATGCCCCTCATAGCTTAATTCCTATAAGACAGAACAAAAGTTTTTGAAACATCATTTTACACACTTACAGGAACAAAACCCAAGTAATTTTGTAAGAATGTTGGAGGACTTCACTAGAAATTTCCTTCCTCTTTTTCCACAACTTGCTTATACTTTATTCCTAATTATACCAAAGTTATGTAAGAAGTACTATGATGTCATATTGTTTTTGCAGAAGCTCAGTAATCGCTGGATTGACGCTCTCTGAAAGATTTTCATCCTTAAGCCTGCAGCCTGATTTTACTTTTAAGTGCCCCATGTTGCCTTGACTTGGATTGAGACTGCATTTAGCTTTTCTATGAGAGGATTTGTATGTCCTTTTAAGAGGAAGGAACTGTGGTTATCTCCCCAGTGGAGAGGTTAATCTGTAGCACAATGTGTACATTATTCCCAAAGAATTCTGGAATACCCAGTGGAAGGCAAATGAGAAACTGTAACAACAGAGGCAGAAGGCCACGAGTCTGGTTATCACAGAATCATGGAATATCCTGAGCAAGAAGAGACCCCTAAGGATTATGGATACAGCCCCTGTCCCTGCCCAGACACCCCAGCAATCCCTCCTGTCCATCCCTGGTGTCCAAAGGCTCCTGGAGCTGTGGCAGCCTCGGAGCCGTGCCCGTTCCCTGGGCAGCCTGGGCAGTGCCCAGCACCTCTGGGGGAAGCAGAACCTTTCCCTGCTCTGCAGCCTGAGCCTGCCCTGACCCAGCTCCAGACTTTCCCTGGCCCATCTCCAGACACTTTCTGGGTGCTGTCCTTGGCCCAGGGCAGAGCTCAGAGCTGCCACTGCAGTTCCAGGGAGCTCTGCCCTCAGTTCCTCTGCTGCAGTTGACCCAGCCCAGTGCCCTCAGCCTCTCCTTGGGTGGCCCCTCCAGGCCCTTCACCATCTTCAAGGCCTCCTTTGGAAACTCTATAATGGCTTAATGTCTTCATTTTAGCTCATGATGTCCAGAGCTGCCACAGCACTCATGGCAAGGCATTAAATAGAAACAAGATTAGGAAACACCCACCCATCCCTCTGATATTGTCTCTCTGATATTGTATTCTGTTGTCCTATTTTGCTGCTCTTTTCTTTACCCAGTTCCTCGGCACTTATCTTTAACATGACATGAAGCCCTGTGTTCTTAACCCAACTTAATATGCTCCTGTCATTCCCTCAAACATCTTTGCTAGCAAAGGCTTTGACCCAAAAATTCTTTCCCAGGAAAAAATGCTGCTCAGATGCTGCTTCTCGCACATCCTAGATCTCAGCTGGAGCAGTTGGGATAGAAATGTCTCACCTGGTACAAGTGCTTCTCTCCCTGGTGTAGCAAAAGTGGAGTATAATAAACTGCTGGGAAGTAATCCAAGTGTTATGAACACTGGATAATTGCATGACTCATAGGAGACCAAGGAATGGCCACTTCATTAAAAAAACCCAAAGCTGTCCAGATTGGCAAAACACCCTTTGGGTTTTTACCTGCAGGGCTTTGCAGAGCAAATATGTGTCTGAGACGTTTATTACTATTTTTCCACTAAATTAGATCCTTCTTCATTAATCATTCACAGTGTAATGTTTGTAATGGAACCAAACACCAAAACATAACAAAGCTTTTAGCTGTGCAAAAGGCAGGCATGTCTCCTTTCCAGGGTTTATTAGTCATGATCAGAAGCTGAGAAAATCTCCATTATCATATTTCACTGCTGTTCTTTTCTGTGCTTTGTAGCCCTTCCATAAGTTGTATAAGACTGTGTTAATAAAATATATTTGCTCATTAATAATTAGTGGAGTTGGCAATTTTGTGGTGGACAGACAAGACCTCTGTCCAGCAGATGAGATCTTGGAAAGATTCAAATTCTGATAAGAAAATACAGGTAATTTTTTTTTTTTGGCAGCTTCTTCCAAGTACTCGCTGTAAGTTAGAAGATGCAGACACTGAAATGCCAAGAATTGCATCATCATAGACGTGCAGGATTCTGTTCTCTTTTTATGATGATTGTAGAGTTGTGTTTTTATATGTTTTACCACATTTGTATTATGTATAAGTTTGTTCCATGTATCCCCGGTTCTGTAACGACCCCTCCCGGGTCTTCCCATCTCTCCCCGCGGTTTGTTGTCCCCGAGAAAATGCCAAGTCACTGTGTTTACCCCAGATGCCTGTCTGTCACTCGGTATCCCTTCCCCCCACCTGGAATCTTCCACACGGGAAGCCGGGCGATAGGCAGACGACCTGGGACCCTCCACCTGTCCGCCCCCCATTGGATGTACCCCTGTACCCCACTGCCCTCAGACCCCCCGTGGCGTTACCCCATTGGCTGCCCCAGTTTTCCCCTGTCCCGTACATAATCCGCGGGCGCGGCACGCCCGCCGCTTTTCTCCTGGCCAGCACCCGCGTGTTGCCGCCGCCCCGCTCGAGCCGCCCGCCGCTTCCTCCCGGCCGGCTCCGGCGTGCGCCGCTCCGCCCCGCCCGCGGCCGCGGCGCGGCACAGACAAACATCGGCACGGCAAACCGCGGCCCCTTCGAATTATTGCTCTCCCCGTTGGGGTGCAATAAAACGGAATTCTGCCCCCTGGAGAAGGACTCTCTCCTTTATTTCGCCGTGAGGTTCGCTGCTTGTTCTCAGACCCACACAGCTCCGTCCAAAGCCTGCGAGGGCTCAGCGGGAGGAGCTGAAGATCTGCCCGTGCTCCCCTTCCCCCCGGAGCTAGCTGGGATAAGGGAAAGCAGGGGAGAAAGAGAGCATACCGCAGATGATTCTCATTATCCAGCAAAAATCTGAACAGAAATGCAAAGAGGATACATACACAGATAATATTGTTCATGGTCACCCTGAAATCAGACTGATTAAATCCTGAGCTTTCAGCTTTCACCTCAAGGAAGGATCACAGCAGAGCCTGGGAGGTTTTTCTGGAGATCATCAGGGCTATGGATAGAGAAGAAGGGTTTTTACTCTTCAAGAGTGAGCATTTTTCATTAATACTCTGAAGCATTTATACTAAAACTAACTGAATCTGGTTGTATATCAAGTTCCAATTAGTTTTCCAATTTATACTGTGACCTGATAATCTAAATCCCACTGATATTAATAGAAGATGAGAAAAGATTGCAGAAAGCCCTGTATTCAATTTAAAAATAATTTAAAGTTCAAGCAGGAAGATAAAAAAATATTTTCATATGGAAATTGCATAAAATGCAATAAAATTATTACAGCAGATAGCAACCATAATATTTTTACTTTACAAAGGGCCTTTTTGCTATTTATACATATATATAAACATTTAGATATTTCCTGATGTTTTAATATATTGCACATCACATTATTGAAGACAATATTGATATTGAGTTGGTTTTGTAACTTTTATTCATTAATCACAAGTTTCCTTGTAGAGATTTTACTTCCATCTTAATTCCTAGATCAGATTTTCTACCAGTGAGGCAGTTTTAACACTCCAGAGGAAGGGATTAGCATTCTGTACTAATTAGGAGACTGTCTGGTTTTAGCACCCTTTGATTTTCCAGCTGGATTGATGAGGTCTTAGTCAGGATTGTGTCAGCAAAGAGCAGCCTTTTCCTCTGAGGCTGCAGTGATGATCTGTGTATTGTGCTTTTCTAACTGCTCTGGTGCATCTTTTGTGTTGACCTCCTCACACAGGTAAGAGTAGCAAAAATAGAAACAATAAATCTAAATAAAAGGGCGGTGATCTGGAAATTTTCAAACTTGAATTGTTGTCTAAATTTAGAATAGACACCGTAATTTTTTTGTTGTTGTTGTTTTTTAATGTTTTTGTATCAGAAGTTTCCTAAAGATCAGTGTTTTTATTTCCAGGTGAAAGCAAACTTTGAGATGTGAACATGATTAGAAAAGTGAAATATTGAATTTTTACTCATTCAATTCTTGATTTCCTATCCCACAGACTATGACAAGTTTTAGGCATTGATATGAGACGTTGATGATTTCTTTTTCTTACATTCACTTGGGCCTTTTTTATTTCCTTTTTTCTTCTGACATCTTGAAATCCATACAATTCTATAAAGCTTCCTGGTTTAGGGAAAGGACAGGGAGCAGGCAGTAGAAAAGGGCAAAGAATGTTCACCTCTAATTTTTGAAAGTTAATGTCCTTTTGAACACCAGTGTCCTGTGTGCTCCTGCCTGAGTGTGAAATGAAGGGAGCTGGGGTTGCCTCCTCAGCCTTTGCTGAGCTGGTGGAGGGTGACCGTGAAAGGTCTCCGTCCTGGCAGGTGCCTTGGAGCTCTGCCCAAGTCCCTGGCTGAGTGGCAGCTGCAGCAATGTCCCCGGGCTGGATGGGGATGGTTCGCTGCTCTCAGCAGCTTCCTTATGCATCAGCTCCTCCTGATGAGAGCCAGGGGTCACCTTCCCTGCTGCTGCTGTCTTCCTCAAGGATTGCCTGGAGGGGTAGGGCATTTTTGCATCTTTTTGTCCCTTCCTGAAGAGTGTGGGGGACAAGGATGACAGAATAGCTGTTACTCAAGCAAAACCTTCCAGATGGAGAGAAGTGAATAGAGTAATTGCCAGGGTGCAGCTTTCTAGGGGTTCATTGTTCTTGCAGCCTTCTCCTGAGTGCCTCTGCCCAGCCACTGTTTGGGAAAGGATGTTGGATGTAGAAGGACTGCTGGATTAACCAAGTACATTTATTTTTAGGGTCACTGGAGCCCTTTTGTGAAGAGGATGGTGAAAATCACGGCCCTCGCTGGAAAAAAAAAACAAAACAACAGAGTAAAAGTGTGTGAGAATTTGGCAAACATGAAAAATCCAAACTATTTTAAAATTAAAAAAAAAAAAAGGGCTTTCAGCAATCTGTCCTGAATGTATTAGTATCAAGCCATTTATCCTCATGTTTTACACTGAGATAGTCATAAACTACAAACACCCACCTTGACCTGCACTTTTGGGACTCTCCTTCTAAATAAAGCTTATTGTTCCTTGGTTAAATTACCAAAGAATCTAAATCTGTTCATGTAAGAAGTTTTTTTTCTTCCAGCTCTTTCCTAGCTGAGCACAATGCATGCTAAACTGTAGCAGTTTATGAAAGAGCAAACATGTAATGTGGCCAAAAATGGATTGACAGACAGGACTTGGCTTAATTTACTGTAACCTTCCTTAAAAAGTTGTGTTGAGGAAGAAAAAGCTATTATCACCCGGCTGACCTTTGCCATGAAAATATTAATCTTCCCCCAACTCAGTTTGTTAGTAGAAGTATATCAACCCAACTGCTCTCAGAAATGTTTTCATCTAAAATAGGTTGCAGTGTGCTGCACATCAGTGAGGAGAAGCTCTTCCTGAGGACACAAAGGGAACCAGGGGTTGAAGATGCATCCATATGGAGACAAATGTAATAGGCATCCGTAGGAGCTCCTTGCAGTACCAGCTTATTCTCACGTAGTTGATTAATTAAATAGTTCTTAAATAATTCCAATAATTGTCTTCCCCCAAGACATATAGGGTATTTTAAAATTAACAAGTCAGAAGGAAGACTGACCAGGACCACCATTTCCACCTTTCTAGCAAAACAAATTAATAAAGGAATTAAGATATTTGTTTTGAGCAGAAACTGCATTGTTTTGTTTGTTGTTTTGTTTTTTCTTCTTTTAGGTAGTGTCATATGTGCCGATATCATGCAATCGTAGAATCATGGAATGGTTTGGATTGAAGGGACCTTTAATCCCATCCAGTATCATCCCTGCCATAGACAGGGACACCTTCCACTGTCCCAAGCAGCTCCAAGCAGCAGTTTCCAACTGCTGGCCTTTGACACTGCCAGGAATCCAGGGGCAGCCACAGCTGCTCTGGGCACCCTGTACCAGGGCCTGCCCATCCTCCCAGGAAACAATTCCTTCCCAATATCTGACTTGAATTTAGTTTGAACCCATTCTCTGTGTCCATTCCACTGCAGTTCCTGAGGAATTGTCCCTCTCTGGTTTCCCTGCAGCCATTCAGACCCTGGAAGGAGCTGTGAGCTCTCCACACAACCTTCTCTTGTCCAGGCTGAGCAGTCCCAGCTCTCCCAGTCTGGCTCCACAGGGGAGGTGCTGCAGTCCCCTCAGCAACTTGGTGCCCCTCAAAGTCAAAGCTCATTTAATTGTTGAACAGTATTTCCTCAGCTAAGATATAAATAGCAGCCACTATCAAAGTGGTATTATCTAGTGTCTGAGAAATAGTTCAGTCCCAGGATTTTTTTTTTCTTTCCATGAAAAAAAAAAAGCAGAATTGTAGATGCATTTTCATGCAAATACATTAATTTGCTGTGCTGTGAATGTGCATACCTGAGTGTTATGGCTTCTCAGGCAGGCACAACCCACCACCTCCCATGGCTCAGGTGGAAGGCAGGTCCTGGATGTGCACACCCAGCTGGATCCCTGCCCTCTGGAGAATGTCTCCTTGCACACAAAGTGCAGAGAGTGCTACCAGCCATGCAGGGTGGCATCCCAAAGAACACAGTTCCGCTTAAAAGTCATAAAATAGGAATATCTTGACACCAAGGCCAATAGAGAGAGATCTTTTGATCCAGGATCAGTAGACCAGATTTAAAACTACATTAAAGTTTTATTATAACATATCCATATTGGAATATATCAACTAGAATTCTCTATAAGCTGCTTCATAAAAAAACAGAATATTTGAAAATGTCGTGGCTTGTTACTATTTCAAAGCTAGGGGAAGTTGTTCTACAAGTGTCACTGTGCTGAACATTGTAATTAGGGGATTTATGGTTTGTTTGGCTGGGTTTTTTTTTTCAGAAGAATGGCTTTTTTGGGGGGTATTTTGTTTGTTCTTCTGTCAGAAATTTCTACTTTCCTTTACGAAAAATGAGATGTGAAGGGGAGGAGGTTGTTCCTTCCCTCCAGAAGCTCCTGAGTATGTCTGTAGCAAAGGGATACAGATCCCATTGTGGATCTGGGAGTTGTGAGAAGTCAGAATGCCACGCAGGAGTTGAGAGGTTTTCTTGAGGACCAGGGGAGAATGCACAGAGCTTGCTTTTGTTCCTGGTCTTAGAATGGAACAAAATGAACCCTGAAAAGGACAGACAGTCAAGCTCAGCATAGACAGAGGAGATTAGTGCATGAAGCCCTGGAATTTTTTTTGGCATCTCTGTTTTCTGTCACATTTTTATTATAATAAAAAGCTAAAGGATTGATTTCTTAAGCTGAAGACTCTAAAATTGGAGTCTTTTTTATTATAGAAATGCTTGAAGATCAAGGTAGACCACAGAGCTCTGCCCACGCTGGGTCATGGGCACCAGTGTATAATAAGTCAGGCTGGGCAATGGTCACAAAGAAAGTTTCTTCTGTAAAAATGATATCAGGAAAGTTAGGAGGAAAACCAGTTTTTTTTCCCTGAAAACCAGTTTTCACCAAAAGAAGAAACAGATCAGAATATTAATTAGTATATGTGTTCTATATGTGAATTTCAAGAAAGTTAAAATAGTTCCAGTGTTCCTCAGTCTGCACTTTTTATTCCAAGCAGCTACTTCTCCTTTTGGTCTCCCATTATTCTCATAGTTCTGGGATGCAGGGATTGAATTGAAAGATGTTAGCATTGGAGGAAAAAAGTTGTTAGCATGTGTCAGTTCAAAGTTCTCCAGGTGATTGCTGACGTTCATTTGTAAAATGATTGTGTATTTTTTCTCATGCAGTCTGGGGAGAGCAGAAATGCCTCTTTTGAAGGCTTTGGTGCAGGATGGAAATGCCTGTCCCAGAAAGACCTTATGTAAAACTCTTGCACACAGATGCAGCAAAGACAGACATGAACTTCCACAGGTGCTTCCACCTGCCTTGTCTTTCCTTATTATCCAGAAAAACAAATCCAAACAAATAAAATTACAAACCTGGACTAGGATTTCAGCATTAAATTGGCAGTGGAAATAAATGTGTGTTTTTCTCTGCATTTGCTGGGCTTAGTAAACAAGGAGATGTGTGCAGCTGAAAAGTTACAGTTAGAATTTAAACTTTGTGATTTTACCTGGGCAACCTTAACATAACTTCCATGTGTTTCAATTTATTTTTGGAACAAAATAAGATGTTAAAAATACATAAATGAGCTGATGAGAACAAGCTAATGTTGGTTTATAATTAAATCAAATAAGCTTACAAGAACTGTAAAGGCAGAATAAATCTCAGGAAAGCAATGAATCCTT